CAGCCAGGGACGGCGATCAGCAGGCTTCTCCGGCGTCTGCAGCTTCCCTCCCCGGCCCTTGTCAAACTTTATCAGAGAAAAGCAGCCGCCACCTCTGTCCAGTCCAGAGACAGCCGTCAGCGACCCGGATGGAGCGGGAGGGGAAGGACTGGAGGCGAGCAGGGAGTAGAGCGAGAGGGGTGGAGAGAGTTGAGGGAGAGGCCGGGGAGGAGAAGGGAGAAGGGGAGGTGGCGACGGGGGCAGGGGAGAGGGGCTGGCCGGAAGTGAACCGGGAGCGCGCGCGCAAGCCCGCCCACTTCCCGGCCCGCGCGCCTGCGCCAGAAACTTCCCGGGGGCTGAGCCGACCCCAGCGCCTGCGCAGTGTGGAGCTTTGGTTGCTTTTCTGTGAAGTGGGAGCTGCCAAGTGCAGAAATCTGAGTTTGTAGAACCAAACGGAGGTTGCCAGTGTGTTTTTTAACACTTGGCGTGCGTAAGGGCCATTTATAAACGTTCGTTTTCTTTTTTGGTTTGTCTCTACTCATAGGTTTGGGGTTTTTCATTATTTTATTGTCTATTCCTCAAGGAGATTTTGATGTAGCATGTGAAACATAACAAGTACACACGTAAGAGTAGATGGCTTACGTTATCCTTTAGATTTTACTGGTGGCTGAAGACACTTGAGTTAAATGTGAGCACCACTAGTTCAGGTTCCTGATAGTTGTTGGCTCACAGCCCTTTCTGCATTCTTTCTGGAAGATAAGCTTAAGTTGCAGGGCCTCTTTTGATCATAGAATATTAAGGCATGGGGTAGAGTCCCTGCTTCATAAAAGCAGTGTCTGGATTTCACAAGCCAGTTTTAACATCGTCTATTTACCCACCCCAAGTGTTGGGGCAAGAAAAAAAAGTACTTATTCCGTAAGCCAACGAGCCCAAAACGAATGATGGACTAGCTTCCTGAAAAAACATCTTATAAAAGGTTGTAAGCTCCTTGTGTAGTTAGGAGGACACGACTGAGGCAACCTGGGTAGCTAGTCATCTTTGTTCTGCAGCACTCTGTGTGTGTGTGTGTGTGTGTGTGTGTGTGTTACTACGTACTAGTGATTGAATCCAGGATTTTTTACATACTAAGCAAGTGCTCTGCCAAGCTACATCCCCAGTCCTTTTTATTTTATTTTGAGTTAGGGTCTCGCTAAATTGCTCAAGCTTGTTTTGAACTTGAAAGCTTCCTGCCTCACGCTCCTGAATAGCTAAATTTATAGTTGTGCACAAGGGTTTCTGCATCAGTCTTCAGAGGAGATATCACAGACTTCTGCAAATCAACCCTGTGCTGCTAATTTAAATGATTAAGGAAGGCTGAACTCAAGGAGCCACAGGCCAATAAAATAACTGCGGTGTCTAAAAATGGTAAGACTTGAAACAAGACACTTGTAATTTTATGTTTGACTTTACCAGAACTTGTGACTTGAGGGTGAATGTTGAGAACCTAGAAGGAATTCCACAGTAGGCTGTTTACCATTTACTGAAAAGTATGTTTCATGTTAGGAAGTGCCCGTGTTAAAGTGTATTTTGCATGGGTATTAGTTCCTAAGGCAGCCGCAACAAATTGCCTTCAAATTGAGTATCTTAAAACAACAAAAAGTCACTCTGTTATAGTTCTGGAGCCCAGAAGTCTAGTAGGTGGCAGCTGGTTGACTCCCTTCTGGGGTTTCAAAGGGAGAATTTTTCACAGGCCTCTCTCCTAGCTTCTAGTAGTTGCTTGCTAGTAATCCTTGGAAATCCTTGTGGAAACATCACTTTAATCTCTGCTTCTGTCTTCACTTGGTGTTTTCCCTATGTCTTTGTCCAAACTTCCCTCTTTCTAGGACATCAGTGATTGTTTTAGAGCGCATCCTAATTCATCATGAGCTCATTATAACTTGATTGCATATGCAATGACCTTATTTAGCAATAAGGCCACGATCACCTGTACCAAAGGTTAGGACTTCAACATTACTTTTGGAGGAACCAAATTTAACCCACTACTGAACTTTACAGAAATATGTATAAAATACAAAATACCTAAACAAAGAAAGTGCAATTTCAACATTAGGAGAGTAGCCACAAAATATATTTTGATTTTAACTTCTCCTTGTTCATGTAGGACTTTTATTTTAGGTAAGAGTCTTACCACATTACCTATGTTGCTTAGGCAGTCTTCAAACTCAGGATTCTCTTGCCTCCTCTTCCAAAGTAGCTGGGACTATAGCCCCACCATCATGCCAAGCCAATATTTGTCACTGGTTTCATGATATCAGGAATCAAGGACCTTGCACCTACTATACCACTGTCCTGCATCCTGTTTTGATATCTTTTAACTGTAAGGACTTGTCACCATAGAGTGTATGATTGAAAGGAAAAGTACAAAATTCAGGATCTTTAAGAAATGTACTTGAAGCTGGGTGTAGTGGCCTACCCCTGTAATCCCAGCACTCACAGTCCGGAGGCTGATACAGGAAGACTGCTGCAAGTTTGAGACTGGACTGGCCTACATAGTGAGTTCAAGGCCAGCCTGAACTACAGAGTGTGACCCTGTCTCAAAAAAAAAAAATGTATTTGATGTTACAATGAATAATGATTAAAATGTAAACAGTTTAACATAATAAAAGCATGGTTTTGGGGGGTTCACCTTTTTAACAGTCCAAGTGAGCATTGCTAATGAGTGAATATCAGTTTCTAGGAACCTGGGGAGATGGGGGCTCCTTGTCTGGGAAACACAATATATCACTGCTGGGCACACAACATTAGCGAGAACTACATACCTAGAGGCAAAGGCTCTGGGAAACAGTCCTGGTCTGAGTCCTCAGACTCTTACTATGGAAAAGAAAGTGTGAATGTGTGCTATGTAGATGTATCTCTATAATTTTTTGTTGTTGCTGTTGTTCTCCTGGGGATCGAACTCAGGACCTTGCGCTTGTGAGGCAGGCATGGTGCCACTGAGCTAAACCCCCGGTCCTCTCTGTAATATTTTTAAAGATTGGTCTTGCCTGTAGAAAATGGAATGGGTATTTCTGGATTTTTCTTTAACTTATAAATCTGTGAAGCTGTGGTTCAAGGTCTTAGAACATAGACCATAGTTATCATTAGGGTGAAAGAAGTGTAGAATCATATAATTGTTAGGATAATGCTAATTTGTTGTATAGCAGTTGCATGAGATGTTAGTGCCAATTTTTCTGGATTCGGAGCCTTCTCCTTACAGCTCCATTCAGACATCTGTTCTTCTGTCTCCCCCAACACAGAGACTTTTGCTGATGGTCTCCTTTACAGAAAACTACTTACTTCTCAGTCAGAACTTCTGTGATCCTGTTAGTAAACGTGTTTCATGGGGTTATTTTAAGGATTTATTGTGACCAGAGTTATATAGATGTCAGCTCTTCTATAACTAGTGTCATCCCTTCCAAACTGTAGTAAGAGAGTGGGAAACCATCCATATCACCACCCAAAAAGTTTAAAACAAGAGTAAAATATGTTTTCCACATTATAAGATAATACTCGGACTGTGGAAAAATCCCTACGTGAAGCGGTATTCATTCTTGTCCCACTTGTCCCCTGGCTCCTAGCCAGCCACACTGCTCATGCTGGGTCTCACCTCACTTCATTCGAGGTCCGTGTCTCCTCTGCCATCTTCCCTGGCCACTCTGCCCAGAAGGGCACACCCTTACTCCCTTGTCATCTTGTGCTGCGTTCTTTTCCTTTGTATCTGTTACCACTACGATGTTTTACTATACAATACATTAAGTATATAATCAACTCTCTGTGTGTAATATAGAGATAAAAACAGGTAAGCATATATAAAATCTATAAATGTGTTATATGAATAGATATACAGGGCCGGGGGATTTAGCTCAGTGGTTCCACCGCCTGCCTTGCAAGCGCAAGTGTTCCAAGTTCAATCCCCGGTACCAAAAAAAATCTATCTATATAATATATCTATAGATAGATAGATAGATAGATAGATAACTTTGTCTCCCCTAGTGAACTAAAACTCCAATAAAGGCAGGAACTGTTTGATTCAGTGTTCTCTCTTTAGTATCTTGCACGACTCCTGGACCACAGTCTGTGCTCAAGAAGTATTTATTACATTAATTTATAGTGCTGGCAGCCTAGTAAGTTGTCACAGTCTTTCCTCTCCCCTCTCCCCTCTCCTCTCTTGGCAAGGTTTCACTATGTAGTTTAAACTGACCTTGAACTCACTGTATATCCCAGGCTGGCCTAGAACTCTCAGTGACACCCACCCCCTGCCTCAGCCTCTTGACTGCTGGAATTACAGATGTGAATCACCATGTGTGACCATCTTTCTGTGAATAAATTTGGGGGCTGGGGATTTAACTTAGTGGTTCTGGCACCTGCCTCTCAAATGCAAGGACCCGAGTTCAATCCCTGGTACCAAATAAATAAACAAATAACCAAACAAATAAATAAATAAATTTGGCTATGTATTCCAAGATCCAAAAATGTTTTCTTAATCATTTTTCATAATAATAGCATTTATTCTGAAATATTGCACAGGTAAACTATTTATCTCTACTACATGACCACTGAACTCTATCCTAAGAAATTAAAAGATTCATCCAATAATTTTTTATTGAGCATCTACTATGTGACACCCTCGTCAATTCTACTAGGAAATATAGATAAAAATAGGACCTAGCAAATAAAAACACGAACAAGGTTTTTATTTTAATGTTATTTACAAAACATTTGGCACAAAATAAAAGCAGCCTAAATTTCAACAATAGGGAATTGGGTAAGCCAATTTTGATATGTATCTAATAAAATTGTGATTAGGAAAACTGTTGAGTCTATGGTCAAACTACCTTGAATACATCTGTTATACGAACGACTGTCGAAAATGTGTATGACACAATGGTTTTATAAATGAGAATACAAAATTATATGTGTCTTGCTTATAGCAATGTTTTTAAAAAGATAGATGTATACCAAAATATTAGAAATTATGGTGCTAGGGTTTAAAGCAATTTTTTTCTCTATTTTCCAAATTTCTATAAATTATATCATAGTTTTAAAATCTTATTGATAAGAGAAATCCTACTTGCTTCTAAAACAGAAGTTCAAAGTGTGGGGATGCATAATTATTGCATGAATCTACAATTCAAGCCAGATGCAAGCATGTGATGGCACATGCCTATAAGCCCAGCACTCCTGGAGACTGAGGCAGGAGGATTGCAAGTTCAGGCCCAGCCTGAGTAATTCAGTGACTTAGTGAGACCATGTCTCAAAATAAAATATAAAAAAGGGCTGGAAGTGTAGCTCAGTGTAGCTGCTGTAAAAATTATCACAAACTGAGTGGTTTAAAACAGAAATTTATCTTTCACAGTTCTGAAGGCCAGCAGTCCAACCTGGAGGTGTCAGTGGTGTCACGCTTCCTCCACAGGCTTCAGGAAGAATGTTTCCCTGGTCCTTAGGGTTTCTGCTGGCTGCTGGCAATTCCTTTGCTTGTGGCAGTGACAACTCCAACCTCGGATCCTTTTTTTATTAGTCCATGTTTGCACTGCATAATGAATACATTGTTGTGGGGTGTTGGCGCAGGTACATATTGCTTCTTAGTTCTTTTTCTTTCCTCTTCTTTTTCCTCCCTCTATCCCCAGAACCCCTTCCCATCTGCATCCTGTCTACCTCCCATCCCATCTACCTTCCTATCCCGTCTACCTCCTTTCAACTTTCATCTTCATATGGCTTCTTTCTTGTGTTTCTGTGATCTCCCTCTCCTTTCCCTTATAAGAACACTAATTATAGGGTTTAACATCTACCTAATCTAGATCTGTAATTTAGTTTTTTATATATATATACTGGAGATTGAACTCAGGACCTTGTGCTTGCCAGGCAGGCACAGTACCACTGGACTAAATCCCCGACCCAATTTAGGTATGTTTCTAAACCCATAATTTCATTACCTACATTATTTCAAAATAAGATCATATTCTAAAATCCCATGTGGGCAGGACTTTGGAGGGGATCGCTATTCAACCCACACAATTTCAGGAGGTCATAACTGTTCTTCCGTTATCCTAATTTTTTGTAATCTTAACGTGGCTTGTATCTGACTCCAGGATTGCCCAGAAGGAAACCCAGTGCCTGACGAATAACATATATTTTGAAATTTTTTTCTTAGGCTTGAAAGACAAGTATTATCTATGAATCTCCTATCAGTGGATAATCTTATTAGTCTGGAATTTTGGGTATTTGTTAAATGTGCGTAGTTTTATTCTACCACATTCGTTCTCTTCTCAGTGCCTTATAGCTCTTCTCACCCTAAAGTCTTTTTTTCCCATTTACTTTTTCTTTGTCTTTCCATATTTCCTCCTTCTCCTCACCCTCCTCCTCCTCCTCCTCCTCCTCCTCCGTTCTTCCTTCCTTCTTCTTTTTTTCTGTTCTTCTATTTGAATCTTAAAGACTATGGACAAAGCCCAGATAAACCTCTGGCTTCCAGGATTTTAAACACAGCCACTTAATTCAGCAAACATTAGTGGAACACTTACACAGGACCAGGAACTCTGTTAGATTCTTGGTAAGTAAAATCTCTTGACGTCAAGCAACTCTCTGCTCAGTGACACACAAAAACAAAATGACATGGTTCTAATAGTGTGATCATTATATTGTGTAAGTTCCAATAAGGATGTGTGACAAGTGTAACCTTTTTCTTGTTCACTTTGACAGGACAGAATTGTACCGTCCAAATAATTTGTCATCAGTGGCCAACAAATCATAGGTTCCACTTTGGGCATTTGGAAAGGACTCCTACAGTCATTTACCTGTTCCTGATTTCGAAGGTTAGTGCTAAGGAGTAGCACAGCCACACCTTGTTTGGTCTTTCAGTGAGTGCTTCCAGTACGGAGGTTCCCTCTTTTCATCCCTGTCCTACAAGTTCCGTGGTCATCTTCTGTCCTTGGCATTTGGCCTGGCAGTATGGGTTTGACCTAAAACACACACACAAAACAATCAAATCTCTTACAAGCTTTACTCACCAAGTTTTTACTGAGTACCTACTCTGTGCTGCTCTCCCAGTTCTAGCAGAAACGAAAACAAGCAGGGTAGGTAGATAAAAACATACTGCAAAGTGTAATAAATGCCCATAAGGGGAAGACATGGAGAATGATGGGTGAAGTAAGGTGGGCAGTGAAGGCCTCAACAGAGGGGTTACCTTTAAAACTGAAAATGAAGAGAAGAATCAAGCCCTATGAAAAAGTGAGAAAATATTCCAAGTGGAGGGAGCAAAATTACACCCTTGGGACAGGAAACAACTTGATACTTTCCGGAGCTGAAAGACAATCAGCAAAGATCGGGCACAGAAACACTGGGTAGGTTCGGAAATAGGCAGATGTGGATGAGACAGGCAGACTAGATCAAGCGGGGCACAAGAGCTTTATTCCAAGGGGAGAGGGAAGTGCCAAGAAAAATGTTGACTTTTGTTGCTAAACAGGACAAGATTTCTAAATTAGGGGAGAGTGAATATAGAAGTTAAATTGCTGCGGGGGGCTTCAGCATACTCCAAGTGGGAAATAATGTTGGTGGAGTCTGAGGTGGGAGTCGCAGAGAGGAAGGGAAGATAAAATACTGGAAACTCACTTTGGGGCCTGGCCTAGTGGCACACGCCTGGAATCCCAGCCACTTGCCAGGCTGAGGGGTGGGGGAGTGGGAATCACACGTTCAAGAGCAACCTGAGCATCTTAGCAAGACCCTGACTCAAAATTTTTCAAAGGCTAGGGATAGCTCAGTACTCCCTGGGTTCAGTCCTTAGTATCTCAAACAAAACAAAACAAAACAAAAATTTTCAGAAATAGAATTACCAGGATTGTGATGGGGCTTTGGAGGGGATTAGGGCCACTGGTACCTTTTTGTTATTTTTTTGTTTTGTTTTTGTTGGTGGGTTGCTTTGTATTGAGACAGATTTCTCTGTGTAGCCCGGGATGGCTTTGAATTCACAGTGGTTCTCCTGCCTCAGCCTCCCAAGTGCGCCCCCATACCTGGCCTGCTGGTACCTTTTTGACTAGGTAAATAGTAATGACATTTACAAACATGAAGGTGGCCATTGAAGAAAGTGGAAGGAGGGCAGGTTTTGACCGAAAACCTTGTATGCTCTGTTTTGACCTCAAGTTTGAAAAATCAATAGTGTATTAGTTTGCTAGGGCTGATGTAACAAATGTTTGCAGACTAGGTGGTATAAATAACAGAAACTTATTTTCTCACAGTTTTGAAGGCCAGACGTCCAAGATCAAGGTGTGAGCAGGCTTGGTTTTTTGTGTTTTTTTCCCCCTAAATCTTCTCTCTTAGGCTTGTAGCTGGCCGCCTCCTCATTGTGTGCTCGTTTTGTCTTCCCCTGGTCTGTGTTCTCGGCATCCTAGTGTCCTAGTTCTCATAAGACAGTCATATTGAATTGGGGCCTAAGTCTATGATCTCATTTTACTTTAGTTATCTTTTTAAAGGACTATCTCAAGCTGCAGTCGCTTTTTAAAGCATGGGATATAGGATCTTAGGGTATGAATTCTGGGGAGGGAGGACATAACCCAACCCACAGGAGTTTCTTCTTTCTTTTCTTTTTTTTTAAACCAGGGATCGAACTCAGGACCTTGTACTTGCGAGGCAGGCAGTGGAACCGCTGAGCTAAATCCCTGGCCCTTTTGAGTTGCATTTTTAAAAGTCCCTTTGCTATTATCCTAAGAGGGTCTGGGTCTATCCCAGAAATGAATGTGAGGGGAGAAATAACTCTAAGCCAATTAATCTACAGCATGAAGAATAATATTCTGGGTATTTATTATAGGAGTCCTCTCAGCTTTCACATTCACAGTCACCCCACTCTCCTTTGCCGCTCCCAATTTACACTCTGTCTTTCAGTTTCCTTCTCTGTAGCCCAGTGTGAAATCATGGTAATCTTTAAATCAGGAATGCCAGTAATATTTTAAATGTTCTTTTTTTAAAAATAACTTTATGATTCTTTGTGTTTGTTTCCTACCTTGTAATTGCAGGAACTCAAGTGATACTCAATCAGACATAAACTTGAAAAATCACGTGTAATGTGGCCCTTGACCAGTATGTGGGGATATGTTCATGCATTTGAAATGATAACGTCATTACTCCAGTTACTGCTCCTTTTTATCAGAGAAAGTTTTCGAGCTGCTCTGTATCTTCATGTCAGTAACGAATAAAACTTGTGTTTATAAAAAAGACAACGCCATGATAAACTATGCTTTAAATTTAGCCATCATATGATGAAGATTTTATAAATTCAAATTAATAATGAATATCACCTAAGTAATATGTTGTGAAGTGGTGGGATCTATACTTATTTGATGATTTTAAAAGCTTGTATCTTTCTTTTTAAAAAGCAAGATAGCAAAAATAAGGAGGAATTTCAAATGTTAGAGCTTACCAGTCATACTTTTTATTTTTTTGGTACCAGGGATCAAACTCAGCTCCTTGAGCTTACAAGGCAGGCATCGGAACCACTGAGCTAAATCCTCAGCTCCAGTCATACTTTTGAATAGGATAAAAATATACCTATTTTGTTGCTACTGGTTTTAAAAGGTCTTATAAAGATATTAGAGTTTTGAGGCTGGAGGTGCAGCTCAGTGGTACAGAGTGCATGTGCAAGGTGCTGGGTTTAATCCCCAGCACCATAAAAAGGTATTTGAAGTTGGAAAGTTCTAACCAGCAGCCAGAAATATGAAACTGAATATTCAGAGCTAAGGATCAAACCAGGGCCTCACATATGCTATACCAGTAAGCTATCACTGAGCTCTAACCCCAGCTCCTTTTATTTTTATTATTTTAATGTATATTTTTAAATGGTGTGCCTCACTGCCTCTGAATAGGAATAAAATCACAACTACAGTTCTTTGTAAAATTAACAATATTACTTTTTTAATAGAAATACACATAAATATCTTTATCCATTGAACCCTTTATTAATAACTTTTGAAGTACTATAAAACATTCTGCATCTGATTTAGTGATCTTTTTAATAAGTAAAGCTGACAGGCATTTCAAGCTCTTGATTAAGCATTAAAATTTTTATGATTGAAGCACATAAAAGTAAGGAGATGAAAAAAAGTTTTGATCCTGGTTCCCCAGGGATCTTTATTTATTGTATACTTTATATGAATTGTGATTAAAAATATGATGAATATTTTAAAATTACAATAGAAGATGCATTGCGTTAACATTACCTTCAAAAAATACTGTCCATTGCTTCAAGCATACTTAATCCAATCATTCTGGCCACTTTCTGGAGCAGTTCTGAAAGTCGCATTTCATGAGTGTCCTTAGTTACACTGTCATAACTGTTTTGATGTCCTGAATCAATTAAAAATATTTACCTTTCTTGCTGTTTTGAATTTGAGAAAGAGTCAGACATCACAGGATTCCAGATATGGTGAATAAGGTGAGAACACACCATAGTATTTTTATTTGACAGAAATTGACATAAACGTTTGATCAAAGAAGGATGACCACAAAATAGGATGAATGTTTAAGCTTTTAAGATTTATTACAGTAAAAGTCACATTGTCATGAATCCTCCTCAAAATGCTCCTCCTCAATTTGAACACACATCCCGATGTTCTTGATAATGTGTCTCCTACTGTAATCAGTTTTTTGAAATTTAGTCATGCATTATATTTTTGATCACCCCCTATATTTATACAACCAATCTTCATTGCCTTCAGTCTACAGATAATTTTTATGCCCATTGATTGCAAATTTTAAGAAAATCTCTATTGTTCCCTGTACTTCTTTTGGAAAAATAAAAAAGATTGTCCTAAGAGGGGGCATCTAGAAATAAATTGAATCCTGGCATTTTTATGGATAAATTTTTATTACAGTTTGAAAAGTATGTTCTTTTTAAATTTTTTAATTTAATAAGTACATATTTTTTTAATTTTTATATAGCAACAATTGCATTTTTAAATTTTATTTATTTATTTATTTTGGTACCGGGGATCAAACTCCAGTCCTTGAGCTTGTGAGGCAAGTGGTGGAACCACTAAGCTAAACCCCCAGCCCCTAATAAGTACATATTTTGAAAAATGTTTTCTTATAATTTCAATATAAGATCTGATAGCCTGCAGGAATGAGCAGTAGTGACTAGAAGGACAATGTGTTCCTGGGAGATAAATTATAGTTGCCTCCTCCACATTGGCTAATTACAGTTTAACCATATTAAAATGATGGAAATGTTGGCCCAAGAAAAACACTATGCAGTCCAAGCTGCTTTTCATATATTTATTTAAATGCATGTGTGTGTGTGTGTGTGTGTGTGTGTGTGTGTAGCCAAAAATAAAAATTACTCTTTGTAAACATAGGCTCTTAAGTAAACAGAAGTGCTGCATACTGTTTCCCCTCAGCAAACAAAACACAACTTCATCTGTTCAGTCTCTAAAAAGAAACGTAACCTAGCCAACTAAATTCCAAAAAACAGCTTACAAATTGCTCCCATTCACAAGCTCTGATAGTATTGACAATAAAATAAAAATTCTGTGAAACGATGAACATTATAACTATCTTTAGCGTTGAAATGTTGTTTTCATTCTTCTTAATGGACCACATAGCCAGAAAATTCAATTATGAATTATTGACTAATTGAATTAATCGTAGGAAAAGTGAAACATCTCGTGTGTGGGCGTGGAACTGGGAAAGGAACCCAGGGGTGCTTTACCACTTAGCACCATTTTTTTTTTTTAGACAAGGTTTTATGAAATTGCCCAGACTGGCCCTGAATTTGTGATCCTTCTGTCTCAGCCTTCCACACAGCTGGGGTTACGGGCATGCATGACCACACCACAGCCAGGGCCAGTGGTGGTGGTACTAGGAGGGATTGTGGGCTAAGCTCTGGTTTCTCTTATTTTGTATAAAACTCTTCTGTTTTAAATTTATTTATTTATTTTTAATACCGGGGATTGAACTCGGGTCCTTGCGCTTGCAAGGCAGGCCACCGAACCACTGAGCTAAATCCCCAGCCCTCTTCTGTTTTAAATTTAAATGTCCTTAGTATGGGGAATCCCATTTTAAAAAATTAAAATAGCTTTTATTTTAAAATCTTTATGCTTGTTAATTACAATTCAGTAAAAAATAAAGAAGATAATGATCAAAAATACCACCCCAAGAAATATATATTGCTAACATTGTGTTGAACATTATTACAGTATTTTTTCATACTCTAAACTATTTTGTACTCCGAAAAGTCAAGGTAATTTTATGCAGTGGATCATGGAGTTTTGTAATCTATTTTTATTTGGAACCTCTTTCCACATACTAGGGAGCTTAATTACATTCTGTGGAAGGTATGTCGGGTCTTGTACCTATAGGGGAACTGATCCACAGATACGAATAAATAATGAATATGTGCAGTCTTCTGTACAAGTTGAATAAAAATCTGGTGAGTGTGTTTGAATATGTCTTGCTATGTTGATAGTCATCACCTGTGCTTTGAACACTTAGAAAGGCTCTTCCAGGTTTTTCAGCTCCTCTAGTTCCAGAGAATAGCAAAATCCTCAGAAGTATACAATGGAGGATCCTGAGATACTGCATAGAGTTTCCATATGGCCTACTGCACTTGCACACTTTTACCTTTTATTTTTTCTAAATTTTTATTAGTGCACATTGGTTATACAAATCAATGGGTTTAATTTTGGAAGATTTACACAGGTACCTAATGCCCTTTTTTTCTTTTTCCTTCCTTCTTTCCTTCCCTTTGTTTCACGTGGGGCGGAGCAGGGGCACAGGGATTCATACAAAGGCTTTTGCACTGAGCTATATCTCCAGGTCTTCCCTTTTTTATTTTGAGACAAGACAGTGCTAAGTCAGTAAGTTGCCCAGGCTGTACTAGAACATCAGTCCTCCTCCCGCAGGATTCTGCCATCAGCATTCCTGGCTAGCTGTGGGTTTTTTATAGATGTCCTTTATCGGAATGAGTACAACTCCCTTCAATTTCTAGTTGAGAGAGTGGGGTTTTGTTTGTTTTTGTTGATTGGTTGGTTGATTGAGGTACTGGAGATTGAATCCAGAGCCTCACACATGCTAGGCCAGGGCTCTACCACTGAGCTACACCCCAGCCCTCTGTTGAGTATTATGACAGGATGTTGGTCTTCCTCAAAAGCTTTTTCTGCCACCTACTATACTTTAATCACTCCCCTTTCCATCACCACCCTAACCCTCCCCTCCCACCTAATTTCACATTTGGGGAGGTTCACTGTGTATAATGTATTAAAATCATATTCATGCTTCTATTACCCACCCATACACCTCACTCTCCCTTCTTCCTTTCCTCTTGTCTAATAATAGTTTCACATCGACTTTCTTGCCATCTTTTTAAAATTCCACATATTAGGGTGAACATATGATATTTTTGTTTCTGAGTCTGGCTTAGTTTGTTTAACATGATGATCTTCTGATCTGCCCACTTTTCTGCAAATGGAAAAATTTTATTCTTTTAATGGCTAAACAATATTTTTGCAGACATATACTACATTTTTTTATCCATTCATCTGTTAATGGGCACCTAAGCTGGTTCCATATCTAGGATATTGTATATTGTGCCACAAATATGAATACGCAGTTATCTGTGTGGAATGATGACTTAAAGTTCTTTGGGTACCTACCAAGGTGTAGTATAGTTGGATCAAATGGTAACTAACTCTATTTTTAGGTTTTTGTTTTGTTTTTGGTACCAGGGATCGAACTCAGGACCTTGCGCTTATGAGGCAGGCAGCAGCACCACTGTACTTTTAGTTTTTTTGAGGAATCTCCATATCGATTTCCATAGTAGCTGTACTAATTTACATTCCTATCAGCAATACAGATGGGTTCATTTTTCCTCACACCCTTTCCAGTTATTGTTTTTTGGTGTCCATGATGATAGCCATGATAAACATTCTGACTGGGGTGAATTGGAATTTCAATGTAGTTTTGATTTGCATTTGCCTAATGGGTAAAGATATCAAACATTTGTTTATATACTTATTGACCATTTGTACTTCTTTTGAGAAGTGTCTTTTTCATTCGTTTGCCCATTTATTGATTGGACTGCTTAAGTTTTTTTAGTTCCTTATATA